CTCACAGACACTGAGAAGTGACTAGTGGTTACCAAGGGGGAGGGTTGTGTTGGGCAAAGGGGCAGGAGGATAAGGGGGAACAATAATTAGCAATCACAATATAAGTTGGTCATGGGGACAGCAGTAGAGCATGGAGAATATAGTTAATGTTTCTGTAACATCTTTCTATGTTGATAGATAGTAACCGCACTAGAGGGGGTGAGGGTTTGATAATGTGGGTAACTGTTGAACCACTGCATTGCACATTTGAGACCAACACAAGATTGTATATCAGTAACACTTCAATAATATATATATATATAGAAATATATATATGAAAACAAAAATAGGTGAACTTCAACTCTTGCTTCATACCAGCCACAAAAATTAACTCAAAATGGATCAGAGACATAAACATAAAAGCTAAAGCTATAAAACTTCTAGAAGAAAACAAAAGAAAAATATTTGCCATATTAGGGTAGGCAAATTTTATTTAGCTAAAACACAGAAAGCACTAATCTCAATAGAAAAAAGTGGTAAGCTGGACTATCAAAATTTTTTATTCCTCCTTTTTTAAGATCACCTTTAAGAAAATGAGAAGGCAACTCACACCTAGGTGCGGGACGTTGGAGGAGGTCGGGCATGCACAGCGGGGACAGTAGGGCCGGGGGAGTGGAACTGCTGGCTCTCAGCCGCGTCCAGAGTCCAGTGACTCACAGCGGACAGCACGCACCGCCCAGCGCGGCCAGCGGAACCGAGTGCTCAACTGCAGGTTGCGCCCAGGTTCTCTGCTTGCAATGACTGAGGTCCCAAGGCTACTCGCCCCCCAACAGTGAGGGGCGTTGCTTTCCAGACCCTCCCTAAGAAGACTGGGCTGCCGAGGCTAGAGGCACTGTTTTGAGAGCCACGCACAAGGGACTTCCAGTTATGGCTTGCCAGGTTCCAGGAGTCAGCTCTTGCATCTCCAGTAATCCTAACTACTGCCCTAAAGCAGAGAAGGTAAGTGATGGGCCTAAGGTCACACGGCAGGTGATGAACTATTCCTTGTTTATCCAATGGACAAGCTACTTAACCTCTCTGTGTTCAGTTTTCCTATCCATAAAGGAGTATGTGTATGTCTGGAAGACACCATAGCAAAGTATTTTAATAGATATTTTTCTGTGGTGAGATTATGGGTGATTTTTATTTTTACTTTTACTTTGTAATTTCTAATTTGCTTTATAATGAATATGTATGCATTTTGTTATTTAATTTCTTTAATGGGGAGAGTAATACTGCACAGGGTGGTTGTGAGGACTAAAAGAGATGATGAAAAACACAGAGCACAATTTCTAGTTCCATAAACACGAGTTCTCCCCGAATACCCTTTCTTCATATACTTTCCTTCCCTTCTGCTGTTAGAGACTCTGGGCCCCAGACCTCAGCTGGGAGGGAAAGAGTCAGTGGTACAGGACTCTGACCAGTTACTGGCTGTGTGGCTTTGGGTAAATCACTTAACCTCCCAGAGTCTCAGTTGCTTTGCAAAATAGAATAGCACCTAGCTCAAAGGAAGTTTTCAAGGACTATGTAATAATCAAGATAAGAAACTTCCTGGCATTGAGTACATCTACAATAAGTATCTGCAAGGAAGGAGCATGATACACATGCTGAAAGAACAAGCAGGAGAGAAGTATGACCAGGAGAGCTAGAGGATCTTAGCAGAGTCCACAGAGCCCAGGGAGTCCCCAGGTAGAGCTGGGAGAAGGGAGGCAGTCACAAAGTTGGATGGAAAAAATCACATCCTTGTTTTCACAAACCTCTAACTGAAATTTGCATTTTCTTCTATTATGCATGTAAGCAACAAATCACAGTAATATAAGCAGTACCAGTCACTTCGCCAACAGTAGAAATCATAGATCTTTTTGTATTACCTTATGGCAGCAATATCCGTAATACTGTTTACACTCCTTCACCTCCTCAAAATTATGGTAGTTAATAGACCAATCTATAGACCTGTTATTTAATATGTTAAAAAGAGCTAATTTGCTAAATAAATATTTTGATAATGATTCTATACAATTGGTATCCTTGGTAGTCCTAAGTAATTTACTTTTTGTAGTTAAAAATATTCTTCTGGGAAAGCAATATGGAGGTTCCTCAAAAAACTAAAAATAGAAATATTATTTGACCCAGGAATTCCACTCATAGGAATTTTCCCAAAGAAAGCAAGATCCCAGATTCAAAAAGACATATGCACCCCTATGTTTATTACAGCACTATTTACAATAGCCAAGAAATGGAAGCAACCTAAGTGTCCATCAATAGATGAATGGATAAAGAAGATGTGATACATATATACAATGGAATATTATTCAGTCAAAAGAAGAAAACAAATCCTACCATTTGCAACAACATGGATGGAACTAGAGGGTATTATGCTCAGTGAAATAAGCCAGGCGGATAAAGACAAGTACCAAATTATTTCACTCCTTTGTGGAGTATAACGACGAAGCAAAACTGAAGGAACAAAACAGCAGCAGACTTACAGACTCCAAGAAGGTACTATTGGTTACCAAAGGGGAGGGATGGGGGAGGGCGGGTAGGGAGGGAGGGAGAAGGAGATTGAGGGGCATTATGATTGGCACACATGGTGTGTGTGGCGGTCACAGGGAAGGCAGTGTAGCACAGTGAAGACAAGTAGTTATTCTGTGCATCTTGCTATGCTGATGAACAGTGACCAAGGCAGGTTGGGGGTGGGGGACTCGATAATAGGTGAATGTAATAACCACAATGTTGCACATGTGAAACCTTCCTAAGATTGTATATCAATGATACCTTAATAAAAAAAAATCTTCTGAATAGGAGCCCATAAGTCTTCATCACACTGCCAAAGGGGATCCTTGGCTAGACAGACATGGGCACCAGTCCTGCCTGGGCCATTGACTATTATATGACTTTGGACTTGTCATTTCTCTCGGGGCCATAATTACCCAGCTTGGCCCACCCCACAGGGTAATTGGGAGGAACAAATTCTTGGCGGGAAAAGTTTTGAAAACTGTTGGCAGCTTCCCTATTTTGTCAAAAGCCAGATGTGAGTGCTTTCTGCCTCCCAGCTGAACCCCACAATCTCCAGGAGACCTCTCTCCTGGAGGATTCTACCCCTCCTCAATACTCTCTGTCTGATAAATAAGGAGACCAAATGCACTTCCATTAACCCACACCATCCAGCTCCCAGTTTGCAGAGATCCACAGCTCAGGGGAGGGGTTTTTCTGAAGGATAATAACAATTCCCTACAGTTTTCATATTTGGCCTTACTGTGACCCTTGAGGACATGACACCCTCAAAACTTCCTTGCTCCTTCAGATGGTGACCCCTCTGTGGCCACAGTTTCTGCCTTTCCCCTTCCACTGCCCTGTCTGATGACCATCTGTGTGACTCCCTCACCATCCTACGTGTTTCTCAAGGGCAAACCCAGATCTGACCCCTCTCAGGGGCTCCAGTCCCCAGGTCAAAGGCAGGGCAAGGAGCTGGCCAAGATGAAGAGAGGAAACTTGAAAGCAATGAGAGAAAAAGTGAGAAAGGGGGAGAGGTCGGACTTGAGCCCAGATCTCCTGATACTCATGGTTTAACCCCTACACATCCAAAGCAAGGGATGGAAGAATTGGGGAATCCCAAGCCATTGCATATTTGCTACTCTGCCCATTGCTGTGAAAAATGAGGAGAGCTAGCTTCTTGTAATCTTGAGCTAGCTTCTGCCCATCTGTGCGATGTGAGGTGTCAGATTCCATGCCTTTGAAACCTTTTCGACCTGACTCAAAGCATTTTATATTGTGATCTGGTTAATAATACATACATACATATGTAACTGAAACAAATATTTTGTGAAAGAATATTTATTTCCTAAATGCATTTTCTATTCCATGAATTATTATTATTATTATTATTATTATTATTATTATTATTATTTTTAATCCCAGCTGTGACTCAACTGATTACCTGGCTCACAGGTCCTTTTCAGCCCCAGTACCCTGTGATTGGCTGAATGGAAATTATTCACATAATGAATGGACAGTTTAAGTTCAGGAATCCCTAGTCTGGCTCAATGTGATTGAGCCAACCTCTCAGAGCCTTGAAGGTTTCCCCAAATGTACCTTGAAAGGACAGACAGGCATCTCTAAGGGCTTCATATAGCTCGTTCGGACTGCAGTCCACTGAATCTAGTGAGAACACTGCCCTTTGTAATCTGGGAATAATTTCTAAGAATGGAGAACTGTGCTGTTTTGCTTCCAAGGGGGTGGGGTTACCACCTGGGACATCCACTTACCCCTGTCGTAAACCAGTGTGGCAGGGAGTGTGAACATGTCAGTGTGTGAGGTGGCTCACTGCTCAGGGAAGGAAGAGAGAGGCAAGGAAGCCAGAGGATGAAGATATTTAAAAGTCCACTGGAAAAAAAGTGATGTGAGAACCCCAGAAAGAGCAAGGGCTTGGGAACTAGACAGACCCAAGTGAAAATCCCACAGGCTTGAGGGCCTGGGGAAATGACTTTTCTCTGAGACCCTTAGCTCTCATTTATAAAACGGGTTTGAAAATCCTTGGCCCTCTGAGTTGCTGCAAGGGTTAACTGAGGTAGTGTATTAATCACCCCATACTAACCCTACTATGTGGTCGCTGGCTGGTCACCTGTGTCCCACACTAGCCCGGAAATACCCCGAGACTCCCAGCGTCCAGCACAAAGCCTGGCACCAAGCGGGTGCTCAATGCCTGTGGGGAATCCACGCCCGTGGCTTCGATTCCCGCCCTGCCACCCTGGGCATGTCGTGTTGTCCGTCTGAGCACCCAGGTCCCAGGTGCCTAAGCCGGGAACACAGCGGGGCGGGCGAGGGAAGCGCGGGCCGAGACCCGCACCCAGGCGGCTCCCCTGGGCAGCTCCCCCCGAGGCTCCGCGCTCCGGCGCCGGCTCCCGCCCGCCTTGCCGCCGCTCTCTACTCCCCCCGCTCGCGGCCCTCCTCCTCCCCCTCCTCTTCTCCCTCCCCGTCCCCTTCTGACGCGCCCTGCCCGCTACCTGGTCGCCTGTGTCGGTGCTCGGGGACCCCAGGTCTCCGGCCGCTGCGTCCCCGCGTCTCCGGCCGTGTCCTCTGTCTCTGTGAGTCTCTGTCTCTCTGCGTAACTCTGCCTCTCCGCCTCTCCGCCTCGTCCGTCTCAGGTTCAGCTCTGTCTGCGTCCGTCCCACGCTCGCCGGCCGTCTGGTAGCCCGAGGTGGCGGCGGGCCCGGCGCTGGGCGCGATGAGCGGCGCCTGCACGAGCTACGTGAGTGCCGAGCAGGAGGTGGTGCGCGGCTTCAGCTGCCCGCGGCCGGGCGGCGAGGCGGCCGCGGTCTTCTGCTGCGGCTTCCGCGATCACAAGTACTGCTGCGACGATCCGCACAGCTTCTTCCCCTACGAGCACAGCTACATGTGGTGGCTCAGGTACCGGCCCTGGCCCTAACCCTGAGAACCCCGCTCCAGTCTTAACCCCTCGCCCCTCCATCGACCCAGCTGCGTGCTGAACCCTCAGTTCTTACCCAGGTGCCCACCACAGCTTCCTCAGCTTTTAGCCCCTCAGGCCCAATACCCACCTTTGCTCTTTGTCACCAAGCCAGCTCCCCCTGCAAGTGCTTCTCAGCTCCATTCCCCCCTCCTGACCCGAACCATTACTCAGATCCAAGCTTGAACCTCACCCCAACTCCACCCTGAAAACCCTCAGTCCCTCCCCACTCCTAACCCATCCTCCACCACCCTCAAGCCAACCCCGAATTACATACCAAACCTCTCCCTGACAGCAAACTCAGTCTTCCCTTCATAAGAGACCCAAACTCGACCTTCATCCAAGTGCCCACCAGGGTCCTCTTCCTATTATCAACCCAGCCTCTTTCCTGACTACCCACTTCCCAGTACTGATCCCAGCCTTACTTTATCACCAGCCCCAACCTCCCTCTGAATCCTCCAGGCAACGTCCACTCAGCTCTCTTCCCCCACCCTGACTCCAAGCCTTGTCTAGCCCTACAGCCAAACCTCAGCCTCAAGCCTTAATCCTCACCTGATGCTGCACCCAAACTCAAACCCAGGACAGCCCAGCCTCAACTCTTCTCCCCCTCATATTTAGTCATTTTTTCAGCCACCCCTTACTGTGCACTTAGCTGCACCAGGCCATATGGTGGATGCTGGGGTTGTACTCCCCTCCTGAGCTAAGGCAGAAGACCAGGGGATTAGATCTCAAGCTCACCATGAGACAATGGCATAAGGCCATGGCAGAAGGCAGCTCAGGTTATATAACAGAGGTGTAATTTGGGCAAATGCCCACCCACAGGAACTCAGTTTCCCCACTTGTTCAGGGAAGGGGTGGTTAGGCCAACGCTAACATTCCTGGAACCAAACTGTGGGGCTCAAAGGACAATAGGTCTCAATCTTTCAGTCCCCAAATGCCTCATTCAGAAAATAGCACCTGGATCCTGAGCCCGCTCCGGGAAACAGAAATCAGCAAAAATCAAAGCAGGCCATCTGAGTAGACAGTGATTTTCCGTCCCTTAAGATATGTGACTAGAGGCAGCATGCCCCCTGGGTGGGAAGAACAGTCTACCACTGAAACCTTTCTGAGCCTCTATCTTTTAATCTACTAAATGGAGAGGATGATAAATCAGTGCCCTGATTTCTGATTAGGGCAAGGACCAAATGAGATAAAGAGGTGATATCAACTTGGCACATGCCACTGGACAATATTATCTATTTTTCTACATTGTTCAATACATAATTCTAAAGGATTTTCAGATGGCCAAATTCTCTAGTCCTGCACATTTAGCTGTTATTTGTAATTTGGGGAATTACATTAATTTATTCTCTATTCATCCATATAGTCATTCATTCATTATAGACTTCATTTTGTGCTATGCTGGACACAGGGGCACAGAATCAATTATTCCCTGCCCCTGAGGAAGTCACAGTCCATTCAGAGAGAGATGACATGCTCCTAAAGTATAACAATGGAATATTTGGTAAAGACCCACTGAGCTGGGTGCTGAAATATGATAGTGCTGACCTCCCTTTGGGGTAGAGGCAGTGTGGAGCTTTGGTGCTGACTAGAACACGGTCCAAATCTTGGCTCTGTTGTTTAAATAGCTGTATGATTTGGGGCAAATTATCTCTGAGTCTCTTTGTTCATCTTTAAAACAGCAACGGTAATACCCGTCTCATGGAATTTCTCAGAGGATTAAGTGAAATAATGCATGTGAAAGTGACTAGTACATACTGTAGATGCTCAGTAAAGGGGAGTTCCCTTTCTCTCGTTCATAGGTGGGAAAAGTGAAGTGCAGAGTAGGAAAGTGAATTGTCCAAGATCTTCTACCAGTGTCATAGCAGACTGAGATTTAAAGAACTTTACCTAGGACCATCCAAGGGCTAGATGCAGTCCCACATTCACAACCCTGGCATGTCTGCTTTCCATTTTACAGATGAGGAAACTTGAAAGTGGAGAAGTTACTACTTGGGAGTGCCCCTGTGAGGAAGTGGCAGAGCTGGGGTGAAACTCAGGCCCATGTGGCCCCAAGCCCAGGATTGTCCTGCTGCACAACTGTCTCAGTCTAGTCTGGCTCTCCCATAACCTGCTCTGCTCAGATCGCCTGAAGAAACTCTCACTGACCCACTACTGTCTTCTGGTCACTGTGATGGCCATTAGTGATTAGTGACCCCCTCAGCCCCCAGTCTGACTCCACCCCTCTTTTACCATCCCCTTCCATATACATGTCTTGTGGTCCCTCCAGTTACCTTAGATCCTCTTGACACGTGGAACTCTTCAGTGCCTCAGACAATGAGATAGAGGGTTGGATGGGGTGACCTCTGAGGTCACATCACAGGTCGGTGTGCTCCCACTCTGTGACCCCAAGAGCAGCCAAAAGGTTCTAGGCTACAGGGTAGAGGCCTTGTGCTGCTCTTGACTCTGGCCCTTTACATGAAAGCTGGCCATTAAAAACATAAAAATCTCCAGATAAACACTGTTTCCTTGGGTAGTGCTTAAGGGGAGTTGCTGTCTTTAATACTGTGTCTCAGGAAGTGAAGACTCCCTGTGGAGAAGCAGGAGGTGCTGTCACATGTCTGGTCTGCTTTCCAAACACTCTCCATCATTAGTTCTGTTTTTTTTTTTTTACCAGGCTGTGAGCCAAAAAGCAGCAGCCTTGATGGGGGGCAGACTTGGTGATCATGCACTGTATATACAGTATCTCATTTCATCTTTATGGATACCTAGTGAGATAGGGGCCTTTACAAATGAAGAAAATGAAGATCAAGAGATGAAGGATTTTTCAGCTTGTAGTGACAGAACCAGGATTCAAAACTAGAACTGTCTGACTCAAAAGCCCTATTAAATGTTAGACACTCCCCCCAACACACACCTCTTTCCTAGAGTCACAGTGGATTCTCTATCTTTCAGCATCTAGATCAGTGAAATCCTAGATTAGCAGCTCTTCAATCCAATTTCCTGCCCAGGGCAGGAACCTCTAATTCCTTGAAAGGTGCGTTCATCTAGGTGTTCTGTGCAAACTTGTCCAGTAACAGGGAACTTAACCTCCTTTTGAGGCAGTACCTTCACCATGGGGCAATTCTGATCGTTTAAATTTCACCTTATACTCAGCGCAGGTTTTCCCCCTTGGAGCCGCCCCTGTCCTCAGCTCTGTCCTTGGGGGCTGGTTCCTCTGTCCCCAGATAGACCATCAGAGAGAGCCTGTTCCCTGGCTGACCACTGACCTAAGTTTTTTCCCGCTCTCTCACTCCCTCCTCCTCTACTTTTAGAGGGCCCTTTGCAGCCAGGTGTGCACAGATGTCCTCTGTAAAGGGCAGGTTCACAGCCTGAGCACAAGTGTCCCAGATGAAAGCCTTATAAACAGTAAGTACATCTCAAAGGAAGAGATAACGTTTAAAGTTCTTACAAGAACTAAAATGTACTAAATTTTTTATGTAAAATGTGGAAAGGACAGGAGAAACAGAAAAGTAAAGAAATCACAGCAGGTCCAGTGTCTTTCTTATGCTGAACATCTACCATGTGCCCAAAATATTACATATATTATTCATCCTCACTACCACCTGTGAGGGTCTGTGTTTTGATCATTCTCACTTTTCAAAGATGCTAAAGCTCAAAAGGTTAAATAATTTCATCAAGTTCTCATGGTGAGCCTGTTACAGACCTGGGTTCTGAATCAGGTAGGTCTGGCTCCAAAGCTCATGGCTCCTTCCCTACCATACTGGGCTGCTTAACCCAGTGGGAAGTGCTGAGGGCCCTAGTACAGTGTCCTGGGTGGGTTAGCCTGGCACAGGGGGAGGGAAGGAGAGGAGAAGATGACCAAGGAGAGCATTAGGAAGCTAGAGACACTTAAGATGGGTCTTCAAGGCCAGGTAAAATTCTGATGTGGGGTGATGATGGGGAGAAGGACATGTGAAGGAAACAGGAAAGACAATGGACCTCAAATGAGCCAGGAGGTAGTTGTCTAGAGCCCAGGTGACCAAGGTGTGACTTGGGGCAGAGGCAGAGAGGCTGGGGTGTGAGGGACCCGGGGTGGGGAGGTAGTCTAGTCATGGAGTCCACACTGGTGTGAGACCCACTGGAATGTGGGTCAGAAATCACGTGGAGGCTGGAAGGACGGCTGGGTTTTAACTGAGGCCTACTATGGGTCTTTATTTTTAAGAAACAACAATATGGGAGGGCTCTTTAAGACCATCTCCTGCTCCCTAGGGTGGGCGCAGGTTGAGGAAAGTAAGGCGGGAAGGAGAAGGGAGCACATGTTGAGGCCCAGCTCCATGCTGGTCCTGAGGCATGTCATGTTATGTATGTGGCAATTCATTGGCATATAGTTGACACCCTTTCCCATACTTAAGCACAGAAGTCCTGTTTCAGATGGGCAGAAACAGAATCCAAGTCCTATAACACCAGCAATGCTTCTCATACAACGTGCTGCCTCCCAAGCCCTTCCTGACGTTCAGCCCCTTCTGGTCTTCTCTCCCCAGTGTTGGCGCTCTCATGGGCTTGTCCATAGCAGCAGCAGTCCTCCTGGCCTTCATTATCACTGCCTGTGTGCTTTGTTACCTGGTCCTCAGCTCAAAGCCCCACACAAAATTGGACCCAGGCTTAAGCCTACAGACTACAGGTAAGAAAAAGTCCACATGATTTCCTTCTATTCAGCAGGCCAGCACCTTTACAGTGGAGAGATATTTAGAAATGATGTTTTTTGCTTCATTTGCTTCATGATTGTATTTGGAATAATCAGAAGCAAAAGCACATTTCCTAAGAGTTTCATGATCTGAACATTTCCATTCCAAATGTTTAATGTGCTCAGTATTTGTCAAAATAATTTGATATAATCAGCATTATATTTGTCACACAAAAATGATTCTATCTTGTGGATTTTCTAAGACAGTGTTTTATTTCTAGGTTTAGGGATTTAGAGTATGGAAACTGATTTTAATATTACCCCAAACAAAATAGAATTAATATGAAAAATCTGCTGCTCCCCAAAATCAATTTATTCAGAAATAACATACAGGTATTTTCCCATAATATGATGTTTTAGACTACCCCTTCCTACATTAGCATAGGCCTTCTAAAGCCTCTAAGGGGCCAGAAAAAATAAGTGTTGCTTCTTTACAAGTCTTTATTATATGCTTTGTCACAACCTCTGCAAGGTACTGTGAAAGGCACAAATCCCTATTGGCAAAAGATATTTCAGTATAGTTTGGTAGACAACATTCAGAATGGGTATTATCTCCATTTTACAAATAAGAAAAAGCTGAGACAGATTAGATGACTTACTCAAGTGTCACAGCCAACAAACAATAAGGCTGAAATTCAGCCCACATCTTTTTGCCTTAAATCATGCTTGCTTTTCTGCCCACCATCCTGGGTCTCTGCTGGTATATAGTTAAGTAAAAATTACTGGATACCTAATGTAAGGAACATTTCAAAAAGAAGAGTATTCTTGAATTAATGTTGAATTAGTGAAGGAGTTGGTTAGGTAAAATAGAGGAAACGCATTCCAAGATAGGGTAAATAATGGGTAAATGTGGGACGTTCTCAGTGAGCCCCATGCAGTAACAGGGTCATTCGCCATGGGGTATGATAGGGAATAAGGCCAGGCAGGATAGGAGAGGGATTTAAGCTCAGCAGAAGCAGCAAGGATGGCAAACATCAGGGAGATAGAAGGGGCAGTATTAGTTGTAGCTGTCTCAGAGAAAGACAGAGAGGGCTTTTTTTTTTTATTTGTAAAATATTAATTTTCCAACTTATCAGCAAACTTTTGCAACAAACAACAGCTCAAGAACCCTTCTCAGATCCTGATGACTATGAATAATCCTGCTGTGGCTGAGCAGTGAAAAGCAGAGGAGTGGCTTCTGTAGATGGAAGGATTCATCTGGCTCCCCTTAGAGTCAGGAAGACTTGGGAGGCAGTGGTAGGGGCATAGGAAAAAAGCCAGAGTATGGACCCATCATGAGGGAAAACCAGAGACAGGCCAGGCTTCAACTTTTATAGAGAAAAGTTGTAAAAGTTAATGAAAAGTATAACAGAACCTGACTATCTGGTGGGTCATAGCATATATGTCTCTATATCATAGACACATCAGTTCTTCCCAAATTAACCTATAAATAAAATCCCAACAAAATATTTCATGGAATTTGTCAAATTAATTATAAACTTAATCTAGAAGAGTAAAGCCATAAGAGCAAAAAAAAAAAAAACAATTTTGGAAAAGAAAGAAGAGGAGGGGCTTGCCTTATCAGATAACAAGAAATTTTTAAAAGATAGAAGAATTTGTCAGTTTAATATTGACACAGAAAAAAAAATGTTGACACAGAAATTGACAGATAGAATTGGGCAATGTACTGGTCTTCAACAGGGTGCAAAGTTGCTCCCCTGGAGATATTTTTGGTTGTCACAATTGGGAAAGGGTGCTGCTGGTATCCATTGGCCAAGGCCAGGAATGCTATTAAACACCCTGCAACATGGAGGGAAGCACTCCATAACAAAGAATTATCTTAGAATTTCAACAGTGCAGATGCTAAGAAATTTTAGAATAGAGAGTCCAGAAATGGACTAATGAAAATACAGGAATTTGAATAAAACATTTAATTTTTTTAAATGAAGGGAAAAATTTGGCAAATTTGCCTACATCAAATACAAATAAGACAAAAGACACCAAACATAAAGTTAAAAAAACAAGTGATGGACTGTGAAGACATTATAAACATAAATTTAAATACCCACATACAGACAATCCTCATTATTCGCAGATTTGTCATTTATGAATCTGCCTACTTGCTACAATATATTTGTAACCTCAAAACCAATACTCACAGTGTTTTTGTGGATGTGGATATGTGCAGAGTGGTAAAAAATCTGAGCTGTCCCATCATACACAATCCTCATTGAGGTTGACACTGACTTCTTGCTTCAGCTTTCATACTGCCCTTTTTGTAGTAAATTTAATGCCATGTTTTCTACATTTTTTTTTATTTTTGTTGTGAAATCAACTATTCAAAATGGCCCCCAAATGTAGCGCTGACACTCTGTCTAGTGTTCCTAAGCACAAGAAAGCTGTGATGTGCCTTGTGGAGAAAATACATGTGTTAAGTAAACTTTGTTTAGGCAGGAGTCACAGTGCTATTAGTCATGAGTTGAATATTAATGGATCAACAATATGTATTAAATAAAGTGTCTTTAAACAGAAACACACACAAAACAAACTTATGCATTGATTGGTTGACAAAACTGTTGTGGCCAGAGGCTCACAGAAACCTAACCTTGTATTTCCTCTGGACAGAATTAATATCTAGAATTTATAAGCATACCTTTAAACAAATGAGAGAAATATAATCTACAGAAGAGGAACTACAAATGCCCAATATACATGAAATATGTTCAATCTCACTGATAATCAGGAGAATACAATTTAGGAATGACATACATTTTTTTAAAACAATTACATTGGCAAAAATCCAAAAATTGATCATATTAATAGTGAGAATGTTGGGTGAGGGAAGTGAATACTCTCATGCTGCTGGTAAGAGTATAAATTGGATACTTCATTTAAAAAAACACATCAACAGCAACAAGAAAAAGTGTAAATTGGTACAACCACTTGATAGAGCAATTTGGCAATATATATTTAAAATAAAAAAATATATATCCTATAGCCCATTTCTAATTCCACTTCTAATCATCTGCCTTAGAGAAAAAGTTGCTCTAGGAGAGATATTGTAAAGATGGATATCATGATAGCTTGTCACACTGGAAATTAAATGTCCATCAATAGGGGAATAATGACATATGATACCAAAGTTAAATGGGATGAACTGGCTCTAAATAGACCATCTCATTTGCTCTCTCAATAACTGGGCAAAGTATAGTTCTTACTACTATCCATTTCACCAGAGAGGAACCTGAAGCTCATAGTCACCCAAGGAGGGGGTGACAGCCAACTCAACCTCCACTCTCCTTCCTCTCCTTATCCCTGTGCTGTGAAAGAGAAGGCCCTACTATGTGCCAGACACTGTTGGAAACTTCACATACATCTAATTTGCCCAACCACCCCAGTGAAGTAGGTGTTATTATCACCCATTTTACAGATGTGAAAACCAGGTCTCAAAGAGGTTAGATAGTTGCCCAAGGGTTTACTTGTAAATTATGGAAGTGGAATTCAAATACAGGTGTCTTTCTGCCTCCAAAGTCCTAAATCTTCCTGCCTCACAGACAGTCTGTGGGCTGCTCCTACTTGTGTCCTGCTCGCCTCATTTCTCCTATCCTATCCCCCATCCCTTTCCAATTCAAAGAGAATATAGTTCACCCCTTGGCCCTGTGAATGAAAAACACCCTCCTACTTTTCACTGCTCAGTCACTAATTTAATTATTCAGTCACCAGGGTTTGAGACAAATTGTGTCCTTGCTTTTGGCCTTTTTTTAAGATGGGAAAATGCATTTCCTGGCCTTTTATTAAATGATAGTTTTCAGCTCTTTCTGCCTTTTACCTGAACTCTGCTCTTAGTTCCTCCCCTTCTTCATTAAGTTCTGTGCTCTCCTTCCACTGAACCCACAGCATCAACCCAGAAGCCTCTTGTCCTTCCTTCTTATCTGAGACAGGTTACAAGCCCACTATCTTACATTCATCAGAGCTTTACTTTTTACACAGACTTTCATTTTTGTTTGCTTCCTCCCACTCTGGTGGGACATGTACAGAAATCATTAGCCCCATTTTACAGCAAAGGAAACCAAGGTTCAGCCAAAGGAAGTGAAATAGTCAAGTACACACAGCCAGTGAGCATTTGTTGCTGGGATGTCAGCCCCAGCCTCCCAGACTCCAACACCTGTGATCAGTGCACCGTATTTCAGAGTCCTGAGTGTGGGGGCAAGGGCAGGAGGGAGTGCCTTGGCAAGAATGGAGTGGAAATGACTCAGAGTTTCTGAGAACAGGCTTCTTCTGCTGTTCAGATATTCTGTACTGTCCCTTCACCCCCGCCACATCCCCCAAATTTGGGGTTCAACAAAGACCATAACTTTCTTACTTGGTACTTTGTGAGGAACCAGCTTGATCAGGAGGGTGACCACGTTCCTCCTGTTGTGCCAAGTGCTATGGTAAAGGCTTTAAATGCCTTGTCTGATTTGTGCCATTTAACCACTCAACTACTCTGCCAGGTGGTTAGTTATTATCAACCCTATTTTGCAGAAGAGGTGAGTGAGGTAAGTACACTGAGATATTCCAACCTAAGTACATTTAATAAGAGATCCAAAAGTGTGGGGAGGGGAGGAAGGGGAATGATAGACAAGATTTCAGGTCTCATCCTCTTCTGAGAGGTATTGGTGGAAAGATCATTAAAGAGCCATTTTCATTGACAGAGGACACTTAGAAATCGAGTCTGATGCTCTCACTCTATAGATGGGGAGCTGAGGCCCCAAAAGAGACAGTCATGTGCCCAAGGTCACCCAGCCAATTGGTGACCAAGCTTCTCCCCCTAAACCAGGGATCTGTCTCCACAGCAGACCCTCTTACCTCCCAGAGAGGGTTCAGTTGCCCCAGAGCCCACTGCTTTTTAACTAACCACACTTGGGGGATGAGAGGTTTGAACCAAACTATCCTAAGTGATTAATTAGTTTTGACTCATTTCCAAGCAGGGAGAAAATCTGAGAACTTCTTTCATGGCTCACCACAAGTTAGTCCCAAGTTCAGCGTTGAAGACCCCAGGCAATCGGGGGACTGGCCACAGAGGACGTTGGAGAAACATGGAAAGGTCCAACCCTGGGCTGGGTCACCAGAGATCCTGGCTTGGTCACTTTCATTATGTGGCCTTAGGCAAATCACTTCTCTCTCAGCCTCAATTTACTCTAAAATACCTACAATAATATCTACTAAGAAACTTGTAAAAACTGGAGGTGATGCTTACATAGCAGCTAATTAGTCTCTGACTATGGTAGGCCTTTAACAATTAATAGCTCTCAGTTAATTATTATTAGGCATTTAGGTTTTTACATATTAGTGTCCTCAAAGAGTCTGCTAATATCTCAAAGGTAAGAACTATGTTTTAAATGCCTTGATAGACCTAGCATAGTCCCTAACCTATGCTAAGGGAATTCTTGCTCTGTGGAAAGAGTCCAAGCTTTGAAATCAGTCAGAATGGAAAGTGAACCCTGGATCCAATACTTAGTAACCATGTCAATGCTGACTTTCCCTGTCTGAGCCCATTGTTTATCTATAACATGGGATAATAATACTCATCTCAGAGAATCAGACCATATTGTTGTACCAGCACGTTTAAGCCAAACATGAATCTTACAGTAACTTAGTATGTGAACTTGTTATCTTTTCCTCTCCTCCTCCCCAGGTGCCTCTTGGCTAGGAGCTTTTCAAAGATGTGACTCCCTCCCCAGGCTGCAGGCCACCATTGTGGGACTTGAATAACAGCTATTATAAATGCTAACAAAAGAGGCAGAAATATATGTAACTGAGAGTAGGACAACTGCCTGTTCTGCTAGTATCCCTGGAAAATGGGAATTGTGGAATTGAAGGTCCTGAAGCACACATTTGAGGGAAACCCAGGGATCTTGGAAAGAGAGTCATATAAAAAAGACATGGTGAATCCACAAGCTCAGTATTAACTAGCATTATACTACCTCTGCCAAAAAGAATATGAGTGGGGTCCAGGTTGCTTTAACAGTTGTCTAGGGTCTGGAAGCAAGAGAGTAATGGTCTTTCTTTACTGCTAATTAGACACAACACACCAGCCAGCAAACCTCAGAGGTAATGTTTTAGTATCCACTCCACACGTTCTCAGTTTTGGGTTACAGTCATCTGAGGGTTCCCAAATATAGCAATGAGGATTCTTGAGCAATTTCCAATATTTTGAAGTTTTTACTAGGACCAAATTTGTTTGCTTTGAGCTAGAACTGTGTTAGTTCAAGGGGGGTAATTAGCATCATCTCTCTCCTGCTAATCAAAGCTCTTTGATTAATATGAAATTGGGAAAAAATTAGTACTTAATTAATGTAGTCCATTATGTAGACAGAATACTTTAAAACTTGGATGGAATTCAAGGGAAAGTAAATAGAATAATGAGCCCATCCATACTTTCTACCTTGTTTTGTAGAATGGTAACTGAGATCCAGGGAGAAGGGATGAACCCAAGGTAGCACAATGATTAATATCTGAATGAGGATTTGAGCCAAGGTTTTATAGCTCCTAGAAGCCCAAGGTTTCTCCTGAACCCTTACTGCCTGCTGCTCAGAACCCCACAATTTAAGAGGAACTTTGACCTAGCAAGAGGTGATCAGAGAAAGATGACCAGCTCTCTCTGGGAACCAGGTCATATATGGACCAGCTGAAGAGCTGGGGACATTTCTCCTTGAGCAAAGGAGTCTCAGGGCTCATAGCCAATGGCCTCAGATCTCTGCAAAGCTGTCCTAGGGCATGAGGAGGGGACATTTTGTGAGAAGCCAGAGAACACAGCTGGGATTTGTGGGTGTGTGCCATGAGACAGACGTTGATTCAAAAACGGTGGGCTTTTCTTAGAATGAGTCCTGAAATACTCTTGTAAAGAGCACCCTCATTACTCTAGGCTATCTTTGGTTCATCAGTTTGAACTCTTGGTTAAAAAAAAAGTACTCCAAACCTGGGAGGTGATCAGGAAAAGGCTAAATATGAGATTCACCTAAGGGCAATCTTACATCGAATAGAAGGCTGAACTAAACCCCTATACCAAATTAAATGCCTTAAAATACAAGCTTAAATAAAAAAGGACCCCAAGAAATCTACAGAACACACACAGAGACACAAAGCAAACTCCTAGAACTAAGAAGTGCACTTAGCAAGGTCACAGTAAGTAAGGTCAGAATCAAACGTCAATTGTATTTATATATATTAGCAACAAACAATTGAGGTCAAAATTGAGATTATTTTAAACAAAACATGTGCAAGATCTGTATGATAAAACGTATAAAATGATGATGAAGGAAATCAAAGACCTAAATAAATAAAGAGATATACCATGTTCATGAAGTGAAAGACTCAATATAATAAAGATAAAAATTGCAGCAGCTTTTTTGTATATATGGACAAGCTTATTCTAATATTTATATGGAAAGATAAAGGAACTAGAGTAGAGCTGAAATAATATTGAAAAAGAATAATGAAGTTGGAGGAAATCATACTACTTGATTTTAAAACTTATCATATAGCAATAATAATCAACAGTAATCAAGACAGTTTGGTACTGGAGGAGAGACAAACACATAGATCAAGAACAGAGTCCAGAAATTAAGTCACATCATAAATGTGTCCACAATATTTTTTTTTAAGGTGCAAAAGCAATACAATGGGGGAAGAAGTCTTTTCAATAAATGGTGTAGACTTGCATAGGTTAAAAAGTTAACTTTTACCTAAGCCTTATACAAAAATTAACTCAAAATAAATCCTAGATCTAAAGGAAAACCATAAAACAATAAAAGTTCTAGAAGAAAACAGGAGAAAATCTTCATGACCTGGTGTTAGGCAAAGAATTCTTAGGCAATAAAAGTACAATCTCATTAGAAAAAAAAATACATTGGCATTGATCTTCATCAAAACTCAAAATTTTGTGCTTCTAAAGACCCTATTAAGAGGACGAAAAGACAAGCCCAATACTAGAGAATAACATTCACATATCCAACAAAGGACTCCTGCCCAGAATAAAGAATCTCCTAAACTCAACATTAAGAAAACAAACAATCCATTTATAGTTCATGATGCGTTAGCAAAACCGAAAGTTTCTGTGATATGACTGACCTTGCACTGTTCACCATGTAAGAACTTATTCATTATGTAATAACTTGGTCACCATGTAAGAACTTGTTCATTATGCTTCAGAAGATTGGAGACTGTTGAGAAATAGGCTTGGGGTCGATTAATGACTGTGCATTGAGTCCCCTATACAGAATTTTATTGTTGTTAACAACCATTTGATCAATTAATATGACAGACGCCTTCTCAAAAAAAAAAAAGAAAAGAAAAGAAAACAAACAATCCCATTAGAAAATGAGCAAAAGACTTAAACAGAAACTTCACTGAAGAGGATATACAAACACGAAAATATGTTTCATCTTCATTAGCCACTAAGGAAATGAATATTAAAGCCACAGTGAGATTACTGCACACCCATCAGAATATTAAAGTGAAAACACTGACAATACCAAGGGAGGACTTGGAATAACTGGATCACCTATAAAATGCTAGTAGGGATGAAAAAGGTTCAGGCACTTTGGAAGGCAGTTGATGTTTTCATAAAGTTAAACATACACTTACAATATGTGTTATTTTCCTATGGCTATTGCAACAAATTATCACAAAGTTGGTGGCTTAACATAATAGAAATTTATTCTCTTAACAGCTCTGGGGACTATAAAAATCAGTTTTACTGGGCCAAAATTAAAGGCTCCAGTGAACAGTCTGTTCCCTGCCTCTTCCAGTTTCTAGTGACTGCCAGCATCCCTTTGCTTATAGNAGAACTGTGCTGTTTTGCTTCCAAGGGGGTGGGGTTACCACCTGGGACATCCACTTACCCCTGTCGTAAACCAGTGTGGCAGGGAGTGTGAACATGTCAGTGTGTGAGGTCGCTCACTGCTCAGGGAAGGAAGAGAGAGGCAAGGAAGCCAGAGGATGAAGATATTTAAAAGTCCACTGGAAAAAAAGTGATGTGAGAACCCCAGAAAGAGCAAGGGCTTGGGAACTAGACAGACCCAAGTGAAAATCCCACAGGCTTGAGGGCCTGGGGAAATGACTTTTCTCTGAGACCCTTAGCTCTCATTTATAAAACGGGTTTGAAAATCCTTGGCCCTCTGAGTTGCTGCAAGGGTTAACTGAGGTAGTGTATTAATCACCCCATACTAACCCTACTATGTGGTCGCTGGCTGGTCACCTGTGTCCCACACTAGCCCGGAAATACCCCGAGACTCCCAGCGTCCAGCACAAAGCCTGGCACCAAGCGGGTGCTCAATGCCTGTGGGGAATCCACGCCCGTGGCTTCGATTCCCGCCCTGCCACCCTGGGCATGTCGTGTTGTCCGTCTGAGCACCCAGGTCCCAGGTGCCTAAGCCGGGAACACAGCGGGGCGGGCGAGGGAAGCGCGGGCCGAGACCCGCACCCAGGCGGCTCCCCTGGGCAGCTCCCCCCGAGGCTCCGCGCTCCGGCGCCGGCTCCCGCCCGCCTTGCCGCCGCTCTCTACTTCCCCCGCTCGCGGCCCTCCTCCTCCCCCTCCTCTTCTCCCTCCCCGTCCCCTTCTGACGCGCCCTGCCCGCTACCTGGTCGCCTGTGTCGGTGCTCGGGGACCCCAGGTCTCCGGCCGCTGCGTCCCCGCGTCTCCGGCCGTGTCCTCTGTCTCTGTGAGTCTCTGTCTCTCTGCGTAACTCTGCCTCTCCGCCTCTCCGCCTCGTCCGTCTCAGGTTCAGCTCTGTCTGCGTCCGTCCCACGCTCGCCGGCCGTCTGGTAGCCCGAGGTGGCGGCGGGCCCGGCGCTGGGCGCGATGAGCGGCGCCTGCACGAGCTACGTGAGTGCCGAGCAGGAGGTGGTGCGCGGCTTCAGCTGCCCGCGGCCGGGCGGCGAGGCGGCCGCGGTCTTCTGCTGCGGCTTCCGCGATCACAAGTACTGCTGCGATGATCCGCACAGCTTCTTCCCCTACGAGCACAGCTACATGTGGTGGCTCAGGTACCGGCCCTGGCCCTAACCCTGAGAACCCCGCTCCAGTCTTAACCCCTCGCCCCTCCATCGACCCAGCTGCGTGCTGAACCCTCAGTTCTTACCCAGGTGCCCACCACAGCTTCCTCAGCTTTTAGCCCCTCAGGCCCAATACCCACCTTTGCTCTTTGTCACCAAGCCAGCTCCCCCTGCAAGTGCTTCTCAGCTCCATTCCCCCCTCCTGACCCGAACCATTACTCAGATCCAAGCTTGAACCTCACCCCAACTCCACCCTGAAAACCCTCAGTCCCTCCCCACTCCTAACCCATCCTCCACCACCCTCAAGCCAACCCCGAATTACATACCAAACCTCTCCCTGACAGCAAACTCAGTCTTCCCTTCATAAGAGACCCAAACTCGACCTTCATCCAAGTGCCCACCAGGGTCCTCTTCCTATTATCAACCCAGCCTCTTTCCTGACTACCCACTTCCCAGTACTGATCCCAGCCTTACTTTATCACCAGCCCCAACCTCCCTCTGAATCCTCCAGGCAACGTCCACTCAGCTCTCTTCCCCCACCCTGACTCCAAGCCTTGTCTAGCCCTACAGCCAAACCTCAGCCTCAAGCCTTAATCCTCACCTGATGCTGCACCCAAACTCAAACCCAGGACAGCCCAGCCTCAACTCTTCTCCCCCTCACATTTAGTCATTTTTTCAGCCACCCCTTACTGTGCACTTAGCTGCACCAGGCCATATGGTGGATGCTGGGGTTGTACTCCCCTCCTGAGCTAAGGCAGAAGACCAGGGGATTAGATCTCAAGCTCACCATGAGACAATGGCATAAGGCCANTTAGATCTCAAGCTCACCATGAGACAATGGCATAAGGCCATGGCAGAAGGCAGCTCAGGTTATATAACAGAGGTGTAATTTGGGCAAATGCCCACCCACAGGAACTCAGTTTCCCCACTTGTTCAGGGAAGGGGTGGTTAGGCCAACGCTAACATTCCTGGAACCAAACTGTGGGGCTCAAAGGACAATAGGTCTCAATCTTTCAGTCCCCAAATGACTCATCCAGAAAATAGCACCTGGATCCTGAGCCCGCTCCGGGAAAGAGAAATCAGCAAAAATCAAAGCAGGCCATCTGAGTAGACAGTGATTTTCCGTCCCTTAAGATATGTGACTAGAGGCAGCATGCCCCCTGGGTGAGAAGAACAGTCTACCACTGAAACCTTTCTGAGCCTCTATCTTTTAATCTACTAAATGGAGAGGATGATAAATCAGTGCCCTGATTTCTGATTAGGGCAAGGACCAAATGAGATAAAGAGGTGATATCAACTTGGCACATGCCACTGGACAATATTATCTATTTTTCTACATTGTTCAATACATAATTCTAAAGGATTTTCAGATGGCCAAATTCTCCAGTCCTGCACATTTAGCTGTTATTTGTAATTTGGGGAATTACATTAATTTATTCTCTATTCATCCATATAGTCATTCATTCATTATAGACTTCATTTTGTGCTATGCTGGACACAGGGGCACAGAATCAATTATTCCCTGCCCCTGAGGAAGTCACAGTCCATTCAGAGAGAGATGACATGCTCCTAAAGTATAACAATGGAATATTTGGTAAAGACCCACTGAGCTGGGTGTTGAAATATGATAGTGCTGACCTCCCTTTGGGGTAGAGGCAGTGTGGAGCTTTGGTGCTGACTAGAACACGGTCCAAACCTTGGCTCTGTTGTTTAAATAGCTGTATGATTTGGGGCAAATTATCTCTGAGTCTCTTTGTTCATCTTTAAAACAGCAACGGTAATACCCGTCTCATGGAATTTCTCAGAGGATTAAGTGAAATAATGCATGTGAAAGTGACTAGTACATACTGTAGATGCTCAGTAAAGGGGAGTTCCCTTTCTCTCGTTCATAGGTGGGAAAAGTGAAGTGCAGAGTAGGAAAGTGAATTGTCCAAGATCTTCTACCAGTGTCATAGCAGACTGAGATTTAAAGAACTTTACGTAGGACCATCCAAGGGCTAGATGCAGTCCCACATTCACAACCCTGGCATGTCTGCTTTCCATTTTACAGATGAGGAAACTTGAAAGTGGAGAAGTTACTACTTGGGAGTGCCCCTGTGAGGAAGTGGCAGAGCTGGGGTGAAACTCAGGCCCATGTGGCCCCAAGCCCAGGATTGTCCTGCTGCACAACTGTCTCAGTCTAGTCTGGCTCTCCCATAACCTGCTCTGCTCAGATCGCCTGAAGAAACTCTCACTGACCCACTACTGTCTTCTGGTCACTGTGATGGCCATTAGTGATTAGTGACCCCCTCAGCCCCCAGTCTGACTCCACCCCTCTTTTACCATCCCCTTCCATATACATGTCTTGTGGTCCCTCCAGTTACCTTAGATCCTCTTGACACGTGGAACTCTTCAGTGCCTCAGACAATGAGATAGAGGGTTGGATGGGGTGACCTCTGAGGTCACATCACAGGTCGGTGTGCTCCCACTCTGTGACCCCAAGGGCAGCCAAAAGGTTCTAGGCTACAGGGTAGAGGCCTTGTGCTGCTCTTGACTCTGGCCCTTTACATGAAAGCTGGCCATTAAAAACATAAAAATCTCCAGATAAACACTGTTTCCTTGGGTAGTGCTTAAGGGGAGTTGCTGTCTTTAATACTGTGTCTCAGGAAGTGAAGACTCCCTGTGGAGAAGCAGGGGGTGCTGTCACATGTCTGGTCTGCTTTCCAAACACTCTCCATCATTAGTTCTGTTTTTTTTTTTTTTTACCAGGCTGTGAGCCAAAAAGCAGCAGCCTTGATGGGGGGCAGACTTGGTGATCATGCACTGTATATACAGTATCTCATTTCATCTTTATGGATACCTAGTGAGATAGGGGCCTTTACAAATGAAGAAAATGAAGATCAAGAGATGAAGGATTTTTCAGCTTGTAGTGACAGAACCAGGATTCAAAACTAGAACTGTCTGACTCAAAAGCCCTATTAAATGTTAGACACTCCCCCCAACACACACCTCTTTCCTAGAGTCACAGTGGATTCTCTATCTTTCAGCATCTAGATCAGTGAAATCCTAGATTAGCAGCTCTTCAATCCAATTTCCTGCCCAGGGCAGGAACCTCTAATTCCTTGAAAGGTGCGTTCATCTAGGTGTTCTGTGCAAACTTGTCCAGTAACAGGGAACTTAACCTCCTTTTGAGGCAGTACCTTCGCCATGGGGCAATTCTGATCGTTTAAATTTCACCTTATACTCGGCGCAGGTTTTCCCCCTTGGAGCCGCCCCTGTCCTCAGCTCTGTCCTTGGGGGCTGGTTCCTCTGTCCCCAGATAGACCATCAGAGAGAGCCTGTTCCCTGGCTGACCACTGACCTAAGTTTTTTCCCGCTCTCTCACTCCCTCCTCCTCTACTTTTAGAGGGCCCTTTGCAGCCAGGTGTGCACAGATGTCCTCTGTAAAGGGCAGGTTCACAGCCTGAGCACAAGTGTCCCAGATGAAAGCCTTATAAACAGTAAGTACATCTCAAAGGAAGAGATAACGTTTAAAGTTCTTACAAGAACTAAAATGTACTAAATTTTTTATGTAAAATGTGGAAAGGACAGGAGAAACAGAAAAGTAAAGAAATCACAGCAGGTCCAGTGTCTTTCTTATGCTGAACATCTACCATGTGCCCAAAATATTACATATATTATTCATCCTCACTACCACCTGTAAGGGTCTGTGTTTTGATCATTCTCACTTTTCAGTCAAAGATGCTAAAGCTCAAAAGGTTAAATAATTTCATCAAGTTCTCATGGTGAGCCTGTTACAGACCTGGGTTCTGAATCAGGTAGGTCTGGCTCCAAAGCTCATGGCTCCTTCCCTACCATACTGGGCTGCTTAACCCAGTGGGAAGTGCTGAGGGCCCTAGTACAGTGTCCTGGGTGGGTTAGCCTGGCACAGGGGGAGGGAAGGAGAGGAGAAGATGACCAAGGAGAGCATTAGGAAGCTAGAGACACTTAAGATGGGTCTTCAAGGCCAGGTAAAATTCTGATGTGGGGTGATGATGGGGAGAAGGACATGTGAAGGAAACAGGAAAGACAATGGACCTCAAATGAGCCAGGAGGTAGTTGTCTAGAGCCCAGGTGACCAAGGTGTGACTTGGGGCAGAGGCAGAGAGGCTGGGGTGTGAGGGACCCGGGGTGGGGAGGTAGTCTATTCATGGAGTCCACACTGGCGTGAGACCCACTGGAATGTGGGTCAGAAATCACGTGGAGGCTGGAAGGACGGCTGGGTTTTAACTGAGGCCTACTATGGGTCTTTATTTTTAAGAAACAACAATATGGGAGGGCTCTTTAAGACCATCTCCTGCTCCCTGGGGTGGGCGCAGGTTGAGGAAAGTAAGGCGGGAAGGAGAAGGGAGCACATGTTGAGGCCCAGCTCCATGCTGGTCCTGAGGCATGTCATGTTATGTATGTGGCAATTCATTGGCATATAGTTGACACCCTTTCCCGTACTTAAGCACAGAAGTCCTGTTTCAGATGGGCAGAAACAGAATCCAAGTCCTATAACACCAGCAGTGCTTCTCATACAACGTGCTGCCTCCCAAGCCCTTCCTGACGTTCAGCCCCTTCTGGTCTTCTCTCCCCAGTGTTGGCGCTCTCATGGGCTTGTCCATAGCAGCAGCAGTCCTCCTGGCCTTCATTATCACTGCCTGTGTGCTTTGTTACCTGGTCCTCAGCTCAAAGCCCCACACAAAATTGGACCCAGGCTTAAGCCTACAGACTACAGGTAAGAAAAAGTCCACATGATTTCCTTCTATTCAGCAGGCCAGCACCTTTACAGTGGAGAGATATTTAGAAATGATGTTTTTTGCTTCATTTGCTTCATGATTGTATTTGGAATAATCAGAAGCAAAAGCACATTTCCTAAGAGTTTCATGATCTGAACATTTCCATTCCAAATGTTTAATGTGCTCAGTATTTGTCAAAATAATTTGATATAATCAGCATTATATTTGTCACACAAAAATGATTCTATCTTGTGGATTTTCTAAGACAGTGTTTTATTTCTAGGTTTAGGGATTTAGAGTATGGAAACTGATTTTAATATTACCCCAAACAAAATAGAATTAATATGAAAAATCTGCTGCTCCCCAAAATCAATTTATTCAGAAATAACATACAGGTATTTTCCCATAATATGATGTTTTAGACTACCCCTTCCTACATTAGCATAGGCCTTCTAAAGCCTCTAAGGGGCCAGAAAAAATAAGTGTTGCTTCTTTACAAGTCTTTATTATATGCTTTGTCACAACCTCTGCAAGGTACTGTGAAAGGCACAAATCCCTATTGGCAAAAGATATTTCAGTATAGTTTGGTAGACAACATTCAGAATGGGTATTATCTCCATTTTACAAATAAGAAAAAGCTGAGACAGATTAGATGACTTACTCAAGTGTCACAGCCAACAAACAATAAGGCTGAAATTCAGCCCACATCTTTTTGCCTTAAATCATGCTTGCTTTTCTGCCCACCATCCTGGGTCTCTGCTGGTATATAGTTAAGTAAAAGTTACTGGATACCTAATGTAAGGAACATTTCAAAAAGAAGAGTATTCTTGAATTAATGTTGAATTAGTGAAGGAGTTGGTTAGGTAAAATAGAGGAAACGCATTCCAAGATAGGGTAAATAATGGGTAAATGTGGGACGTTCTCAGTGAGCCCCATGCAGTAACAGGGTCATTCGCCATGGGGTATGATAGGGAATAAGGCCAGGCAGGATAGGAGAGGGATTTAAGCTCAGCAGAAGCAGCAAGGATGGCAAACATCAGGGAGATAGAAGGGGCAGTATTAGTTGTAGCTGTCTCAGAGAAAGACAGAGAGGGCTTTTTTTTTTTATTTGTAAAATATTAATTTTCCAACTTATCAGCAAACTTTTGCAACAAACAACAGCTCAAGAACCCTTCTCAGATCCTGATGACTATGAATAATCCTGCTGTGGCTGAGCAGTGAAAAGCAGAGGAGTGGCTTCTGTAGATGGAAGGATTCATCTGGCTCCCCTTAGAGTCAGGAAGACTTGGGAGGCAGTGGTAGGGGCATAGGAAAAAAGCCAGAGTATGGACCCATCATGAGGGAAAACCAGAGACAGGCCAGGCTTCAACTTTTATAGAGAAAAGTTGTAAAAGTTAATGAAAAGTATAACAGAACCTGACTATTTGGTGGGTCATAGCATATATGTCTCTATATCATAGACACATCAGTTCTTCCCAAATTAACCTATAAATAAAATCCCAACAAAATATTTCATGGAATTTGTCAAATTAATTATAAACTCAATCTAGAAGAGTAAAGCCATAAGAGCAAAAAAAAAAAAAACAATTTTGGAAAAGAAAGAAGAGGAGGGGCTTGCCTTATCAGATAACAAGAAATTTTTAAAAGATAGAAGAATTTGTCAGTTTAATATTGACACAGAAAAAAAAATGTTGACACAGAAATTGACAGATAGAATTGGGCAATGTACTGGTCTTCAACAGGGTGCAAAGTTGCTCCCCTGGAGATATTTTTGGTTGTCACAATTGGGAAAGGGTGCTGCTGGTATCCATTGGCCAAGGCCAGGAATGCTATTAAACACCCTGCAACATGGAGGGAAGCACTCCATAACAAAGAATTATCTTAGAATTTCAACAGTGCAGATGCTAAGAAATTTTAGAATAGAGAGTCCAGAAATGGACTAATGAAAATACAGGAATTTGAATAAAACATTTAATTTTTTTAAATGAAGGGAAAAATTTGGCAAATTTGCCTACATCAAATACAAATAAGACAAAAGACACCAAACATAAAGTTAAAAAAACAAGTGATGGACTGTGAAGACATTATAAACATAAATTTAAATACCCACATACAGACAATCCTCATTATTCTCAGATTTGTCATTTATGAATCTGCCTACTTGCTACAATATATTTGTAACCTCAAAACCAATACTCACAGTGTTTTTGTGGATGTGGATATGTGCAGAGTGGTAAAAAATCTGAGCTGTCCCATCATACACAATCCTCATTGAGGTTGACACTGACTTCTTGCTTCAGCTTTCATACTGCCCTTTTTGTAGTAAATTTAATGCCATGTTTTCTACATTTTTTTTGATTTTTGTTGTGAAATCAACTATTCAAAATGGCCCCCAAATGTAGCGCTGACACTCTGTCTAGTGTTCCTAAGCACAAGAAAGCTGTGATGTGCCTTGTGGAGAAAATACATGTGTTAAGTAAACTTTGTTTAGGCAGGAGTCACAGTGCTATTAGTCATGAGTTGAATATTAATGGATCAACAATATGTATTAAATAAAGTGTCTTTAAACAGAAACACACACAAAACAAACTTATGCATTGATTGGTTGACAAAATTGTTGTGGCCAGAGGCTCACAGAAACCTAACCTTGTATTTCCTCTGGACAGAATTAATATCTAGAATTTATAAGCTTACCTTTAAACAAATGAGAGAAATATAATCTACAGAAGAGGAACTACAAATGCCCAATATACATGAAATATGTTCAATCTCACTGATAATCAGGAGAATACAATTTAGGAATGACATACATTTTTTTAAAACAATTACATTGGCAAAAATCCAAAAATTGATCATATTAATAGTGAGAATGTTGGGTGAGGGAAGTGAATACTCTCATGCTGCTGGTAAGAGTATAAATTGGATACTTCATTTTAAAAAACACATCAACAGCAACAAGAAAAAGTGTAAATTGGTACAACCACTTGATAGAGCAATTTGGCAATATATATTTAAAATAAAAAAATATATATCCTATAGCCCATTTCTAATTCCACTTCTAATCATCTGCCTTAGAGAAAAAGTTGCTCTAGGAGAGATATTGTAAAGATGGATATCATGATAGCTTGTCACACTGGAAATTAAATGTCCATCAATAGGGGAATAATGACATATGATACCAAAGTTAAATGGGATGAACTGGCTCTAAATAGACCATCTCATTTGCTCTCTCAATAACTGGGCAAAGTATAGTTCTTACTACTATCCATTTCACCAGAGAGGAACCTGAAGCTCATAGTCACCCAAGGAGGGGGTGACAGCCAACTCAACCTCCACTCTCCTTCCTCTCCTTATCCCTGTGCTGTGAAAGAGAAGGCCCTACTATGTGCCAGACACTGTTGGAAACTTCACATACATCTAATTTGCCCAACCACCCCAGTGAAGTAGGTGTTATTATCACCCATTTTACAGATGTGAAAACCAGGTCTCAAAGAGGTTAGATAGTTGCCCAAGGGTTTACTTGTAAATTATGGAAGTGGAATTCAAATACAGGTGTCTTTCTGCCTCCAAAGTCCTAAATCTTCCTGCCTCACAGACAGTCTGTGGGCTGCTCCTGCTTGTGTCCTGCTCGCCTCATTTCTCCTATCCTATCCCCCATCCCTTTCCAATTCAAAGAGAATATAGTTCACCCCTTGGCCCTGTGAATGAAAAACACCCTCCTACTTTTCACTGCTCAGTCACCAATTTAATTATTCAGTCACCAGGGTTTGAGACAAATTGTGTCCTTGCTTTTGGCCTTTTTTTAAGATGGGAAAATGCATTTCCTGGCCTTTTATTAAATGATAGTTTTCAGCTCTTTCTGCCTTTTACCTGAACTCTGCTCTTAGTTCCTCCCCTTCTTCATTAAGTGCTGTGCTCTCCTTCCACTGAACCCACAGCATCAACCCAGAAGCCTCTTGTCCTTCCTTCTTATCTGAGACAGGTTACAAGCCCACTATCTTACATTCATCAGAGCTTTACTTTTTACACAGACTTTCATTTTTGTTTGCTTCCTCCCACTCTGGTGGGACATGTACAGAAATCATTAGCCCCATTTTACAGCAAAGGAAACCAAGGTTCAGCCAAAGGAAGTGAAATAGTCAAGTACACACAGCCAGTGAGCATTTGTTGCTGGGATGTCAGCCCCAGCCTCCCAGACTCCAACACCTGTGATCAGTGCACCGTATTTCAGAGTCCTGAGTGTGGGGGCAAGGGCAGGAGGGAGTGCCTTGGCAAGAATGGAGTGGAAATGACTCAGAGTTTCTGAGAACAGGCTTCTTCTGCTGTTCAGATATTCTGTACTGTCCCTTCACCCCCGCCACATCCCCCAAATTTGGGGTTCAACAAAGACCTTAACTTTCTTACTTGGTACTTTGTGAGGAACCAGCTTGATCAGGAGGGTGACCACGTTCCTCCTGTTGTGCCAAGTGCTATGGTAAAGGCTTTAAATGCCTTGCCTGATTTGTGCCATTTAACCACTCAACTACTCTGCCAGGTGGTTAGTTATTATCAACCCTATTTTGCAGAAGAGGTGAGTGAGGTAAGTACACTGAGATATTCCAACCTAAGTACATTTAATAAGAGATCCAAAAGTGTGGGGAGGGGAGGAAGGGGAATGATAGACAAGATTTCAGGTCTCATCCTCTTCTGAGAGGTATTGGTGGAAAGATCATTAAAGAGCCATTTTCATTGACAGAGGACACTTAGAAATCGAGTCTGATGCTCTCACTCCATAGATGGGGAGCTGAGGCCCCAAAAGAGACAGTCATGTGCCCAAGGTCACCCAGCCAGTTGGTGACCAAGCTTCTCCTCCTAAACCAGGGATCTGTCTCCACAGCAGACCCTCTTACCTCCCAGAGAGGGTTCAGTTGCCCCAGAGCCCACTGCTTTTTAACTAACCACACTTGGGAGATGAGAGGTTTGAACCAAACTATCCTAAGTGATTAATTAGTTTTGACTC